CAGCACATTCAGAGTTCAAATTTCATTGTCAATAAAATTCGAATTTTTGTTGTAGAATGATTATTGTAATGATAAGTTGGATTGCTAATCTGTAACCAAAATCATACCGGATATTTAATATCTAAAAGAATTATTAGGCATTCATGCAATATATAAGTTATATAAAAGCATGCAAGCTAGTATTAGTCAGTGCAAACCTACAATAAGTCCTGATAAGCCAAAGAATTAAAATTATAGATAACTGCTTGGCAAGACCCAAGTAGAGAGGTAGTACAAATTTTTAATAGTACTATATAAAGGATTATCACTAAAAAGAACCAAAAAACTAAATGAACCATATGGCTAACTACCAACTAGACCACCAGGGCTAAAGAAAAAAAGATTTGCTTAATTGTAGTTATTAGAAGACTAGTAACTTTTAAGTAAAAGTTTCTTCTAGGCCATTTGAATTGATAGTTTAAAATAGCTAGATCAAACCAAGAAAACTGAATGAAAATAAGATTTGAGAAAGTACTCTATTAACTAAGGATGTTAAAAGTCCAACTTGGCTCAACTTGGCTTAAAAGTTGAGTTGAGCAACTTCAAGTCCAGTTCCAAGTTTGACTTATATGCATTATGTAAAACAAATTTTATTAAATATTTTTATATACCTCTTGTATATTTTTATGTACCCCTTGCATAATTTATACACCTATTATATAATTTATGCATTTCTTGCATATTTTATACATCTCTTGCATATTTTATACACCTCTTATATATTTGTATATAATTATATAAAAATATGTAAGGAGCACATAAAAATATATAAGGAGTAAAAACTCAACTCAAAAGTTGGTTCGAGTCAACTTCAAAAAGTTCTTGCTAAGTTGACTCAAAAACCAACTTCAATAAAGTTTTTAACAACTCTACTATCAACCAGGCTACCAGAACTGGAAGAAAAGGATCTGCTTAATTGCAAATACTAGGAGATTGGTAATCTACAGTACTCTGTAGATGAAAGTCCCTACCGGGCTATTTGGATTGGTAGTTTAGGATCTAAAGAGTATTTTTGAATAGTCTGTAAAGTAGATACTAGGGTTTGGATGAATTCTACAAGGGCAGAAGTAAATAATAGTAGCAGCTTCAGCTCGCAAGTACTTGTCCTCAGACTTAGCATAAGTTACTAAAGCCTAGACTAATCAGATTGTGAATATGGAAAGCTCTAGCAGGTTTATCCAGAGAATAAAATTGTTCTAAGGTTGTAATAAATATTAGTTTGAGATTATATATATAGAAATATATATATGGTTGATGCAAGACTAATACTGTAAAAGTAATCTGTCAAATATAAATAAAAAATACTGACCAAAGGGTTTACTTTAATATTAAAAAAAAAAACAAACAGTTTAAAATTGATGATTTTATATTAAAAAAACTTCAAACTTCCTTGTCAAAAAACATACTTTTAGTTCTAAAAATTCGCTAACAATTTTCTAAAATTCTATTGGCTTGCTCTGGAAATTTCACTTTTGTGTACCTATTAAAATTTTTTAGAACCCAACAAATTCTAAAAATTCACTCACTAAACTTAGAAAACTTACTGGCTTTTTCTAAAAAACTCCTTAGTTTTTCTAAAATTTTACTATATATATACTATACTTTTAACAAAAAATATACAATATCTTTATATTCTACTATACAAACCTTACTTGGCACTCTAAATAAGCTTTATTCCTGAGATAAAAATACATTTTATATTAAAACTTCAAGTTAATATCTTCTAAATTTATTTAAAAATAAACTAATTTTCAACAAACTTTTCTTTTTATATTTAAAATTTATCTAACAAAAATTGACTATATTTTTATATTCTATTAAGGAAACCTTACTTGATACTCTAAGTAAACTTGAATTTTAAATTAGTATCTTCTAGACCTATTAAGAAAACTAACAAAACATTTTACATAATTAAACTTTATTTTTAAAGATACTTAACAAAACTATACTATAACTCAAAAACCTATTAAGACAATCTCTTTTAATGTTTTAAGCAAACTTATTTTTTATATAAATTAAATATACTCCAAAAATTTTAAACTAAATACTTCAAAACTTACTATCCTAGTTAGAAAAAATTTATATTACTTTACTTATTAGATTTCATTTATTATCTTATAATATATTTTAACTAAATATATCTTAATGTTAATTTTCTTACTACTAGTTTATTATCTACCAGTCTTCTGGCAGTAACTTCTTTAATATAAATCTGAAACAACCTCTCAATTAGTTTTAACACTTTCTGGTTTCAACAACAAATAGCTTTTTTTTTATATATTTAGTTAACAATTTAAACAATAAATTTCTTAAAGCTTTTTTTTAAAAACTTCTACTTGAGTTTAATTGTTTAGCCTGAAATAATAATAAACCAGCTCTTAAGAATAATTTTGATCTTCTAATTTATACAATGGCTCTTCAAAAATCTAAAATTATTATGGACTTTATTCGAAACCAAAATTTTTAAGTTATTAAATCTATAGATATTCTCTTTGATATTATTCTTGAAACTTTTAAAAGATCATTTTTAGTAATTACTACTATTCTTTTTGAATACTTCAACTATCTAAAAATATTTAACTTATATCTTTTTATTTCTCTTTACTTTATCAAAAAACAATTTCAAATTATTATTAACCTTGCTAAACTTCATTTTTTTTTACTAATTAATATTAAACTATCGATTACTAAAAATTTTTTCAAGATTTAAAACTTAAACTAATTTATTTATAAATCTTCTTCTATATTAACCAAATTCAAGATACAGATATGAATATATCTATATTACAAATTTACAACATCCCTAAATCTTATATCAATATCTCTATAAATATAAAGAAAATTCACTCTTCTACTATTTTATCTATTCAAGTCCATACAAATACTACTATCAAAACTATATTAAACCATATATATATGTATAAACCTCACCAAATGCACAATTTTTATACCAAATACTACATACAATTTTCACAATTTAACTACTTACTTTTTTAAATATTTTTGTCAAACTTTACCTACTTCTAAATATATTTATCTAACTATTAATAACTTTATTTTTTGATCTAACCAATCTTATACTGCTACCTTTTCTACTGTCTTTCCTTTTAAAGACCTTTATGAACTTGCTAACTAAGCAGAACAAAAATTTATTATACTTAACCAAAAACTTATCGAATTCAAAAGTCAAAACTTTTTGAATCAAATTTTACAACTCAAAGCTCTAAATAGATTTCTTTCTTCTTTTATAGTTATTTTAAAGCATACTTAAAAATAGTTACAACTAATGATTAAATCATAGACCTCAACCTTAAGAAAGCACTTAACAAATTCTCTTTAATATCTACAAATCTACAAACTTTAGCCAAAATTATTGCCTACTATAATATTATTTAAATCTCTAAACTAACTATTGCAAACTTTAAAAAAAATCTAAAGAAATCATATTTTGATCAAGCAAACCAATACTTAATTAAAAAGTACAAGATTTCTGTTTCTACCATATTGTATATAAACTTTATTACTACAAATTCTAATACTCAACAACAACAATAACAATAACAACAAAAATAATAACAACAATAACCAATCAGCTCTTCTACAAAATCTAAACCTTCTAAAATTAACAAACAACAACAGTATTATTCTAATAAATCTACTATGAAATTTAAAATTTCTAATATTGATGAAAACTTTTTTCTAATTTAAAACTTACTTTATATCTTATATACCTTTATATATAATATTATCTCTTATATATTTTATAACTTTATATACTAAATATAGCCCAGTATTTTTTATTATATCTAATAACTTTATACTATTAAATATAGGTATTATTTTATAGTGACCTATTGCCATGGTGACCCATGATCAACCAATGATATTTGGTCACGTGAATCATATGACTTTCCAAATTGTGTAATGTTTATAAAAAAAAATTCTAACTTTTATTTTTTTTTTATTTTATTTATTATTTATTAAAAAAAAAAAAACTTCGTTATATAACAAATGTTGTTGTATAACAAAGAACTACAAAAAACTAAAACAATGATATAAAACCCACTACCCACCTGCTATATTTATTCAAAAAACCCTATCCACCCTCCCACTGTTTAAAGATAATACCAATATGATGAAAGATTTCATAGAAGATTTTGGCAAAGAATCCAAAAAAATTCTAGTAGAGAGTCCAACAAACAATCAAACGAAACTTTCAACGAATACTCTAACAAAACTTTTAATAAAACTTCTAATGAAACTTCTAATGATAGCTCTAACGATGATTCAAGTAATGACTCCAGTGACAATTCTAGCGATGATTCCGGTGACGCTTCAGCGACAACAACTTCAAAACTACAATTCTGGTAACAACGAATTACACTTAAAAAGAATAATAAAAAGAATATTAGTTCAAGATAAGAGGAAAATAAAACTAAAAATAAATACAAAAAAATAACAAAAAAAATGAAAGAAAGCAAGAATGAAAGAAAAAAGATAAAATGAAAGAAAGCAGAGATGAAAGAAAAAAAGATAAAGTGAAAGAACAAAATGAAGTAGAATGAAAGAAAAAAAAGAAAGGTGAAAAGAAAAGCGATAAGATAAATTAAACAAAGAGAATAAAGGCTGAAAAAAATAAAAAAAAAACAAAAAAAAGGAAAGACAAAAGAAACAAGAAAGACGAAAGGGAAGAACGAAAGAGAAAGAGAAGAATGAAAGAGAATGGGAAGAACAAAAAAGAATTGGAAGAACAAAAGATAAAGAGAAGAACAAAAGAAAAAGAAAAAAACAAATGAAAGAGTGAAGAATGAAAGAAAAAGAGACAAAAAAAGAAAATACAAAAAAAAGGAGAAGACAAAGAAAACAAAAAAAGAAAAGATGAAAGAAAAAAAGAATACAAGAAAAAAAAGAGAGAACAAATAAAAAAATATGAAATAAAACAGAAAAAGAAAAAAGCCAGAAAGAAAAAAAACGAATGTAGTAAAGAAAAAAAAAGGGTCAGAAAAGTAATTAATGAAGAAAAGAGAACGGAAAGAATAAGATAAAAAAGAAAAGAATGAAAAAATGGAATGAATAAAAAAAACAAATAAGAACAAAAGAAAAGAATAAATGGTGAAGGAATAGGAAAAAGTACAGGAAAAAAAAACCAAGAAAAAAAAAATATAAGTAATGAAAGAAAAGTGCGAAAGAAAAAGGAAAAGAAAAATTAAAATAAAGAAATAAGGTGAAGAATAAAAAGAATAGATGAAGAAAAAACAATGAAAACAAAAACAAACAGAAAAAAAAAGAACAGAAGAAAAGAAGAAAAAAAATAAAGGTAAGAAAAAAATAAAAGAAAATGGAGAAAAAGCAAAGAAAAAAATCAAAAAAAAATAAACAAATAAAAAAAAAGCAAAGAAAAAAAAAAGCAACAAAAAAAAAATCAAAAGATGTTAATTCTAATAAAAAAAAAAACAAACTATAAAATTAAAAGTACATACCTTATCCCAGAGTTGAGCGAAAGTTAAAAAAGATGAAACATAAGCGAAAGTTAAAAAAGACGAAACTTGAACAAAAGTTAAAAAAAGACAAAATGTTGAGTGAAAATTAAAAAAAGATGAAATGTTGAGCAAAAGTTAAAAAAAAAAGACGAAACAAATAAATACAAAAAAAAACAAAAATAAACAACAATATATATGATCACTAATTTTAAAATTGATTGGCTGATCATATAGGGTCACCATAGCGATAGGTTGGTATTTATAATTTTTTATTAAATATACAAATTTTTTAGTTTAGCCTTATTTTAAATTCATTTAACTAAATACTCTATTTATTCTATATCTATTTTTTTTTAAAAACAAATCTAGATAAGACTTTGACCACTCTAGTAGGTTTAGATTGCAGATAAAGTAGTTTAAGCTTTTATTTTTGCAATATAGTTTTACTTTTTATATTTTATATATTAAGGTTAGCAACTTTTTGTAGTTACTATGATATGAGCTTAATATCAAAAAAAAAATATTATTATTAAATATGATATTTATAATAAATATTATATCTGCAAATATTAAATTTATATTTTTCTATCTGTCACTATAGTAAACTATTGCAATTTTTTCTTTACCTGTTAGTAGGTATTTGATTAGAGTTAATAAATAAGTTATTTTTTTAATAGCTAAACTTTTTGTAAGAAATATTTTTGAACTTTCTATTTTAAATAAAGATCTAGAAGCTTCTCAATAGTGTTTTTACAGACCAAACTTGAACCAAACTTTAGTCAAGTTTGAGTCTGATTTGGTTTTTAGACCAGTCTCAGACTTTTATATTCAAACTTTTTAATCAAGTCTGAGTCTAGTCTGGGCCTAGTCTGAAGTTTGCAGACTAGTCTAAGTTTGAATATTTGGATTATAGCTATTATTACTTAGGTAGCCTGTATAACATTTATTATAGCTGTTTTATAAATTCTGTGGTACTTGATAAAAATTAGCCTTTGTTTTCTCAAGGTTTTAACTTTATTAGGATTTCACCAGAGTTTTACCATTTTATCAAAGTTTCACTATTTTAGCATAGTTTTATCTGGTTTTATCTTTCACTAGGTTTAGTTTTGTCTTTTGCTATTTGCCAAAAATTGTTTCATCTGTCAACACTAATTAATATAACAAAAATTTAATAAGAAAGCTTTGTTAATGATAGATATTGTTAAAATTTTAGTATAGATAAGATTTGTATATTTCTTTCATAGCATCTAATTATATCTTTTTCTATATCTAATAATATACCAATACAACTTTATAAATTAATAATAGTCTGATAGTAAGAAATAAAGCAAAAAAACAAAGCAAAATTTTATTAAAATCTATATTTAAAGTTCAAGATAAATGTATCAGATTTCATTACAAGTAGGCCTATATACCTTTTATTGACTTTGCCAATTTTATTATTTAACTAATTTCTTTACTGAAAAATATAAATTTATAATTGTAATTAAGGCTCATAATTTTATTTATGATTTTATGTTAATTCAAATAATTTAAGATAGGCAAATACTTTTCTGCAGGGAATGTATCATTATCTTTATATTTAATTTTATTATTTATATTAATTTTGATGAGTATAAAAAGCATTTAAAATAATCTATTCACATTTATTATTGATCTATATTATAGTATTTAATATTTTTTAATCTTGTTATTTATAACAATCATAAAAAATAAATTACTATCAATATTTTCAATATGGATTTTTTTATTTAGATTAAGTTATTGATTAATTTTAAAATTTTTAGACTTTAAAACAATTTCTCTCATATCAATAAGCTTAGAAATATACATCATGTTATTGTGTTTTTGTGAGATAATTGAATTTTTTGATTTATTAGTTTCTAAAAATTGCTGTTTGATCTCTTTATTTGAATCAATGCATTGTTTGTTTAACTTAATGTTACTATCATTGACAACTATAATATTTTTTTATTTTTTGAATTTATTAAATATTCTAATGGCCTTAGTTTTTTTTTATATCTGAATTAATATTATTATAGTATACAACTATAATATTTTTCTATTTTTCAAGTTTATCAATAATCTCAATAGCCTAATAGCCTTAGATCTGTTTTTTATATCTGAATTAATATATTGTTTTGTCAATTTAATATAATATTTTGGTATCTTTATAAAAAATTTAGGTTGTAATCTATGACAAATCATTGCTGCTAATTCAATATCAAAATTGTAACTATCAAAAGGTTTTCATCTAGTTAATATTTCTATTATAATAATTTCAAAACTGTAAATTTTAAAGGCTTGAGTGAATTGTTCACCTTTTAAAATCCCAGGTCCTAATATAACAAAACACAATCTGTTTTTTATTACACAATATTAATGAATCTAAATCAATATAAACTTTATATCATTCTTTTAATAAAATATTATCAGGATTTAAATTCTGATATATAAAGTTTTTAGAATAAATATTTGATAGATCATTAACAATATTGCATAATAATTTTAGTTTAATTTTTCACTCTAATTTAAATATATCTTTAAGATTTTTATGTAATAATCCAAATTTTGCGTAATTTAATACTAAAATAAAATCTTCCATATTTTTATCAATTGATATACTATAGTATTTTTCTATATAGGCAGATTTAATTTCATTTAAAATTTGATTTTATCATATACGATAATC